GAGGGACGAAACGAGAACATTTGGGCCTAGATATGTTTGTTTATTTCTGTATGCTTTCCTGATTTACAACATCAGCAGTGGTAACAGCATTGTCAAATATATCTTCAGTTTAGATTAGCATTTTAGACAAACTTACAAAATATAATGCAGGGAGCTGTTTTGATCGTGTTTAAGTCAAAGACTGCTTTCATGTTTAGGACTCATATTGTTATCTCCTCTAATGTTCCAGACAATCCCCTGAGATGCTCCAAAATACCTTCTGACTGTCTGGATAGAACTAGATCAGGTTAAAATATCTGAAATCAAGAGGTAAACTCTAGGTTAAGTGCCAATGCAGTCGAATAATACTATAATAATAACCTGTGAATAAATGTAACATTCACAAAATAAAGAAAACCCTGAGAGAGGAAGGAGAAGGAGAGGAAACAAACCCAGAAAGAAAAGCAACATCATTAGCCCTGGAAATGAAACAGTGGGAAGAAGTGTTTACAGGGATTTACCTGGACGGGAGGCACTTGGCTCAGCTTCCTCCACAGATCAAATGGAATAGATCGGTTTGGGGAAATTATCAATATGGTACAAGATACTGGAAATTGCCAATCTGTATGAAGGTTTTGAGGTGTTTGGCTCTTTCCCTAACCACATGTGGGAGAGAACAGGAAATAAGAAAAACTCTCTGTATTTACCCTTTCATCAAACACATGCACATTGTAATAACCAAGGAAGGGGAGAAAATCAAATGATTTGTGCTTTTTATAGACCGAGGAGAAAAGCACATCATAGCCTACATTGGAAATATACCCATCAATCTGTGCCGTACATACACTGATGCTCTGTTCTAACTAAAGAATTCCTTAGAAAGCAGGTGCTGATGAATATTCTGAAACCACTATCTGCTCAGTTCCGTTTGTGATCTGATTGGCCATTGATGACTGCCGACCATGAATATTTATAGGATCAGACACAATAAAGGATGAAGTCTTCAGCCAAGCTCCTTTGTACTAAGAGACAGGAAATAATTGCAAAGAAAGTAAGATCAATCAGACTTCATATTGTCTACAGACAGAAAACACAGACAAAAGTACAAAGGGCTAGAATTGCCTAAGAGTGACTTGATGCAGAACCAGTGGAAAAGCATGCAGCATAACATAATAGAAGTGAGAGTTAAGCTTTGATTTTCATCTGTTACTCTTTAGTGAAGTTCCGAAAGCACACACATTTTTACATCTACAAATATGTGCAATTCCAACTTGGCACATTTTCCCCAAACTTATTTCCCAGCAATTCGTCTTCCACAAACTCTTAACCCCCAAAATATACTTTTTCTATCAGCCTTGTCTCTAGCCTCCTCACTCAAGAACTCATGAATATGTGATTCACCTCTGAAAAGCTGCAACCACCGAGGTCAGATACCATGCAATAGCAGCACAGCACTGAAGAATACACAAGACAGGTACACACCACCATTCAATATTCAGACTGAACTGTACTATAGTATGGCTCTTGTACCAGAGTCTACTATGGGGACCATCCCCAGCACATCTCATATCTGATACATTGGGAGTACACGAAAATACAGTCTTCAACAGACAGTCACCCATTGAGTCTATTTATGGTGCGACTTTGAAATAAGACTATAGAAAATTTGGGAATTAATTATAAGCATGAAGGGAGCTAATTAAATGGGGGGCGAGAGAGCTAATCAGTTTGTTACTCCCGCTCTCATCTGATTTATTGGCACGCGTTGTATCTACAGGAAGTCTTTACGCCACAAGACACTGCTACTCTGTGTCTCTGAGAATGGAAAAGGCAGTGTTCATTCCCTCTCTATTCTATTACGTCATAATGCCTTATCTACTCGATTTCTTTTCAACTAATTAGCCTTGCTGCAACGTGTACTTATCATTTGCAACTACAAAGTGCAACAACATTGGTGATTTCCCTTGATAATGCAGTCTATTGTTTCCTTTTGAAATGATGTGATGTTAGGCATTGTGTAGCACGGGAGTAAGGAATCATGCTTACAATACTATTAATTAAAAATGTACCATTCTGTCATAATAAATGTTACTTTTGTGACCTTCTTTTACACACAACCCAAAACTATACAGTAATTTCAAAGGAATACTGTCTAACAGTGGACAGTCAGTAATGTGATAGGGGTGAAAGAGAAATATAGGGGAAGGTTACCTAACCTTCTCTATCGTCAGTAGCTACTGTTCTTCACACAGAGAAAAGCCATTTACATTTAGTAACAGGGGGTGGTAATGTTCCTCTTGTGCAGACACAGCTAAGCTAAATTTGGAAATAAAGAAAGCTGTAATTATTGTCAGTCTCTAATGTAGCGCCCCCTTAGCTATACCTCCCGACCCACACAGCAGTAGGGAACACTCGTAAAAAATAAATAAATACAAAGTATTTCCACCGCCACCAACTGTGCATTATTTCTTACACTTCACTCACTGAACTAAATTAATAAATAAATTAACTTGAATATTTCATCATTATATACCACAATGCACAACACGAAATAAAAACACCTACAAATGCAACTTAATGGCTCGTACTGTAGATCTGATTCACCCTTTGAGAAGCAGTCTCTGCCTGGAGTATGTACTTTTTCAGTTTAAAGTGAATCCAGGTGAACTATTCAACTAGATTAGAAAGAGGAGCCATTTTGTTCTTGGTTACTTTCATTATTGTCAGAAATCTGTACACCTACAT